TCCTAGTGCTTGCAAAGCAAGCCCTTTGATAACTGAGGCGTCACCCCTGTTTGTTTCTTGAGACAGAGCACTTCACATATTCCTGGCTAACTTAGAACCGGCTATGTAGACCAGACTGGCCTTGAACTTGTGGCCATCTTCCCAGGTGCTAGGATTCCAGATCTCTGCCACCATATCTGTTTTGTGCAGTTCTGGGAGAGGACCCAGGGCTTAGCAGGTGCTAGGCAAGAACTCTACCAACTGAGCTACCTCCCATTGCTTTCCTTAATCCTAATGCAGTTGTTCTGGTAAGATTAGGTGTCTACACTGCACAGTTCACTCTCCAACTTACACGACTGTGGCTTTTAGTGCGGTCACAGACTGTGTAACTCTCAGTGCCAGCTTTTAGAAAACGTTCCTGATCCCCAAATATCCTGAATGCTGGGAGGGATCTTTCTAGTTCAGAGATTTGTTTTGTTTTTCTGCCAAAGTTATAGTTTTTGTTTTGTTTTCGATAATGGAAAGATGTGATTGTTGACTGGGATGTCCTCTTGTTTTTTTTTTTATGAGACAGGATATCCTCTTGTTTTATGCGCTGGGGATGCATCTTAGAGGTAGGGCACTTGGCAGAGGATGCCTGGAGCCCTGAGTTTGATCTCAACCCTGTAGGGGAAATTAAAAAAAAAGCCTTCAGTTAGCTTTTCAGTAGAACTTCCTCAAGATCATCAGCATGGTAGGGCATGAACCACTTGCAGAAGGAACTGCCCTATCCCATCTAGTGGCTACTGTGGCAGCTTCCTGCGGCTACAGAACACTTGCTGTGTCTAGATTAACATGTGACGCACAACGTAGAAGAGTTGGTTTAAAACAGTATAAAATATTCAACTCATATCTTGATTCTGTTAAATGATGATATTTTAGCATGATCAAACAACATGTCCTTAGTTTTTACACTTTTTTAACTTAAAAAAAGTATGGCTGCTAAAGAAGAAAAGAAGCCAAAAGGAAAAGCAATGCTTGTGGAACATTCAGCTTCAGCTGAAGTTGGCACTGTATTTATTAGCGATGCTAGTCTAGGCAGCTGAGGTGGGAAGACATCGCCCTCTGCTGGACAGTAGACTGCATTGTTTGCTTCTTCAGATACAAAGTCACAGCTAGCTAAAATAAATGCCTGGGGCAGGGGGAGTGTTAAAATGCATTGAACATGGACCGTCTGCAAAGGCTTGTGTTGACTGGCTTTGCAAACTTTCATCTCATTTGAATCAAGAGCTCATTACTGTAGTTTATTCACGTTTGGAACACAGTTAACTGAGAACCAGAGTGGTACTAAGTGGTGACTGGGTCTCCCATCAAGCTGCCTACTCTTCTGGTGTGCAGGCACACATACAGGCAGAACACTGTATACAGAATAAATCAATCTTCAAAAAAATTTAAGACATGGGCTGGAGAGATGGCTTACGGGTTAAAAGTGCCCATTGCTCTTACAGAGGACACACACTCACACACTCATACAATTAATTAATTGGAGACACTGTAGGGGCTGGAGAGACCTGGGGGCTGGCATACACTAAGCACATATTCTGCCACTGACCTACACTGCAAGCAAATTCATTCATAATTATGGGTTTCCTATGCTTTAAATACTTCCTGCCAGAACATTCATTACCATTTGATCCATACACTGTGACAAGCGTTTCTCAAAGTGTTTTTTTTTTTTCCTCTTCCATCCTGGCTGTCAAACTTCTTTCCCTCTTTTGCAAGAGTTCTAGCATGTTCCTCCTGGCTGGGTGATTGTGAGCTGTGCTGGTGTGAGTTAGCACGTCCTTGGGTGGGAAGAGGATGAGCCACTCAAAGGTGGTGTGGTACTTCTCACCAACTTTAGCTCATTAAAGTACATCACAACACATGTATATATCATCACAATGCATGTATATATCATCACAACACATGTATCTCATCACAACACATGTATATATCATCCCAACACATGCATCTCATCATAACACATGTATATATCATCACAACACATGTATCTCATCATAACACATGTATATATCATCACAACACATCTATCTCGTCATAACACATGTATATATCATCACAACACATCTATATCATCACAACACATGTATATATCATCACAACACATGTATATACCATCACAACACATGTATATATCATCACAGCACATGCATCTCATCACAACACATGTATATATCATCACAGCACATGCATCTCATCACAACACATGTATATATCATCACAACACATATATATATCATCACAACATGTGTACCTCATCACAACACGTGTACCTCATCACAACACATGTATCTCATCACAACACGTGTATATATCATCACAATACATGTATATATCATCACAACACGTGTATATATCATCACAACACATGTATATATCATCACAACACATGTATATACCATCACAACACATGTATATATCATCACAACACATGTATATACCATCACAACACATGTATCTCATCACAACACATGTATATACCATCACAACACATGTATCTCATCATAACACATGTACCTCATCACAACACATGTATCTCATCATAACACATGTACCTCATCACAACACATGTATATATCATCACAACACATGTATATATCATCACAACACATGTATATACCATCATAACACATGTATATACCATCACAACACATGTATCTCATCACAACACATGTATATACCATCACAACACATGTATCTCATCATAACACATGTACCTCATCACAACACATGTACCTCACAACACATGTATATACCATCATAACACATGTATATACCATCACAACACATGTATATACCATCACAACACATGTACCTCATCACAACACATGTACCTCATGACTTTCAGAAGTGGCGTGCACCTGCAGTCCAAACATTTGAGGCAAAGTTGGGAGGCAGAGGCTGGGAGATCTCCGCAGGTTCCATGCCATCCTGGTTTTTGTAGAATTTCCAGGTCAGCCGTGACTACAGTGTGAGATGCTGTCTAAAAATGCAAAACAGAACAAAAGAAATCCAAAAGAGGTGACAAGAAGCTCTGATCTCTGTATGGGGGCCTTCAAGACGGCTTAGTGGGTAACGGCACTGAGCCTGATGACCTGAGTTAAACCCCTGAAAGCCATGTAGTAGAAGGAGGGAACAGACTCCTAAGAGTTGCCCTTTGACCTTCCCCTGTGTGTTTAGTACACACATGCTCCCTCCCCCCAAATCAATCAGTAAAGTGTAGGCTTAAAATTTTTAAGTTATCCAGGCAGTGGTGGCACACACCTTTATTCCCAGTGCTCAGGAGGCAGAGGCAGGTGGATCTCTGTGTTTGAAGTCAACCTGGTCTACAGAGCGAGTTTAAGACAGCCAGGGCTATACTGAGAAATCCTGTGTTCTGCCCCACAAAAAAATTAAATTGTCATAGGGTCCTGAAATGCAAGTGGTAGGGTGTTATATTGCTTTGAGTCATCTTATTGTACCCAACTCCCCCCCCCCCCCGCCCCCGCCCCTGCTTTGGTAGTAGGGGTCGAATTTTCCACCTGTGCATGCTATGTATGTTCTCTACCACAAATTCTCTCACACTGAGTTGCCCAGGCTAGCTCTGACAAGCCTTGAACTTGGGACATCCCTGCCTCAGCTTTCTGAGTAACCAGTGTTGCAAGCCTGTGCCTCCAGGCCTGGTTTCCTCAACTGGTCTGAACCATCCGTGGTCTCATCTCCAAGCAGGGTGTGCATCCTAGTACCAGGAAGAGGGAGTGTGGGGGGTGCTCCCCTCCATGCAAGGTTGACCTGGGCTACACAGCAAGAAGCTGTTTCCTAACAGTGACAATGAGAGCACAGGATCTGAAACATCGATGTAGGAGAGGGCAGGCTTTGAGATCAGGTACAGACATCAGTCCCAATTCCTCCACTGAGGGCCTTTGGGTAACGTGGAGATAGAGATGCAGGCATGGTGCGTGGTGATAGTGCTGGGCGTGGAGGTGCACACTGGTGATGCCAGCACTGGGGATGCCGAGGCAAGAGGACCCAGAGCTCCAAGACTGTGGTGGCGCACACCTTATTCCCAGCGCTCCGGAGGAAGGGGCAGGTGGATCTCTGAGTTCGAGGCTAGTTTCAGGACACCCAGTCTACATAGTGATATCAAAAAAAGAACAGTGAAGAGTTCTAGAACAGCCTGGGATATGGTACAAGCCCGTGTACAAAAGGAGTCAGTATCATCACAATGGCCGGCATTATGTTTAGGTTTTCATATGAATCTTCTTCTTTAATTTTTGTCACAACCTTGGGATAACCCTGAACTTCAGTTTACAACACAGACTCAGAGGTCAAGGTTTTAGAACTAACTGGAGGCAGAGTTGGTCCTGGTCTTCCAGCTGCTCGTTCCCATATTTATTCTATTTAGATACTATTCCTTTTTTATTCTCTTGTTTGTTTATTTCTGGTGTGTGTGTGTGTGTGTGTGTGTGTGTGTGTGTGTGTGTGTGTTTAAGTCCAAGGACAACTTGTAGGACAGCTTGTCAGTTCTCTCGTTCCATCCTGAAGGTCCTGGGGATCGAACTCGGATCACCAGGCTCAGCAGCAACTACCTTTATCCACGGAACCGCCCTGCTGGCTCTATTGTACTCTTAAGCCAGCTGCTATTGAAAAGAAGTGCTATGAGAATGAGAGTGCCCATCACAGGGCACAGGCATTGTTGGCCATAAAACCTGTGACCTTCTGCCAATCCATTTAATTAGTCAGGCGTTGGTGGTGCACACCTTTAATCCCAGCACTTGTGAGGCAGAGGCAGGCGGGTCTCTGTGAGTTTCAGGCAAGCTTGGTCTACAGATGGAGTTCCAGAATACCCAGGGATACACAGAGGCATACTGTCTTGAAAGAAAAAAGGAGAAGAAGAAGAAAGAAAGAATCCATTTAACTTGTTATAGACAGAGTGTAATCATTCTAATGAGGTCATGTGAGAGATATTTACTGCCCAAATGCATTCCTTTTCTGAACAGGTTATCCTGCTCGGAGAGCCAGGTACCAGTGGGTACGCTGCAATCCAGACAGCGTCTCTGCAAACTGCATGGAGGAGAAGGGACCACTCTTTGACCTAAACACAGATGGATCCAACAACATCAACCCTCCAATGGCCAATCCTGTTCTGTAAGTGGACTTTTGTCTGATCTCACAGAAGTGGTGGAGTGTTTCTTTTCAGCTTCCTGCTGTGGTGGCTCCGTTTAGAATTTCACGCTAGGAAAAAGTGTGCCACATGAGCTGAATGAGGCATGAGATGTGGCAACATACTTGGGTTCAACCATGTTTTTGGAAGGTTTTCTTGTGGGTGGCAGGAACAAACATTGAGAACTATTCCCCCAGTATACATTAAAATGATTGAACATAGTTTTATTTATGCAAATAAAGAGTTTATATTAAAATCGAGTTAGATTTTTTTTTTTTTGGTTTTTACGAGACAGGGTTTCTCTGTATTGGTTCGGAGGCTATCGGTCCAGCCCGGCCTCGAACTCACAGAGATCCACCTGCCTCTGCCTCCCGAGTGCTGGGATTAAAGGCGTGCGCCACCACCGCCCGGCGAGTTAGATTTTTTTTTGAGACAGGATTTTACTATATTGCCCTGGCTGGCCTGGAACCTGCTCTGTACATCAGGCTGGACTTGAAATCACCGAGATCAGCCTACTTCTTTCTGCCTCTGAACGCTGCGATTAAAGGAGCGTGCCACCATACTTGGCAGGCACATCAGCTCTTCCTAGAAGGGATGCTTGTGCTCGCCCCCTCCCCCAACACATACACTTGAACTCCTGCTTCTCCCCTCAATCCAGAGCATGCGGTTATCGAGACACATCTACCGACCGTGCCTCTATTTTTAGGTTACTTGATCACTTCACTGCCTTTTCAAATGGCTGACTCACCGCTTCCTTTCAAAGCCCTTTTCTGTGGGCTTCTGCCATCTACCTTCTCCGGCCTGTTTTGGGTTTCGGTAACTAAGTTCGCTTTTGCTCATTTTAAACGTGTGGTGTGTCCTGGCTCTGTCACAAGCCTTTGTGTTTCCTCAAGGTGGCCCCTGCCTGCCTCACACCTTTCAGTCCCATCTGTACGGTCAGCGACGGTCACGTCTGCATCCAGCTCTCTCTGGTTTGTCGGGCAGAAGCAGCCTCCTGTGTTGGTCTGATGACATTTCACGTTTCCTGGCTCTCCATTCCCTACCGTTTTCCCGATTGCTGTCCAGATTTGCCAAGGATGGGTGGCACCATTTCTCTGCTCTGGTTTTTGTGTGGTTTTTAGAATGAGTTAACCAATGAGTCTAACCAACCCACTGAACTCAGCCCTGGCAGCTTCCCCATTTAGCTCAAGAGTACAGATCCAAGTATTATATTTAGAAGAGAAAATTTAATTTTTATGTTCTGGTAAGGCTACTAACCTCTTCTAGGTGTTGGTGGCTCACACCTTTAATCCCAGCACTCGGGAGGCAGAGGCAGATGGATCTTTGTGTGTTCCAGGCCAGCTTGGGATATACAAATGAGACCCTGTGCCAAAGAAACCAAAACAAAGGCACGTAGATACACACCTGAAAGTGCGGAGGCTGAGGAAAGAGAGTCAGGAGCCCAAGACCAACTTGGTCCTCAAAATGACATTCTACCTATCTTTTTTTTGGGGGGGGGTGTTTTACGAGACAGGGTTTCTCTGTATTGTTTTGGAGGCTATCGGTCCAGCCCGGCCTCAAACTCACAGAGATCCACCTGCTTCTGCCTCCCGAGTGCTGGGATTAAAGGCATGCACCACCACCGCCTGGCTGACATTCTACCTATCTTAGAAGAACAAAGAAAGAACATGAATCTTCATTTTGACATGATGATAGCTCATTAGAAGTTCCGTGGAAACCTCAATTAGGAGACAGTGTCATCTGTCTAGAATGATTTCGTGGTGTGCCCTTTAAGGAGAAAATATCAGAAGAGGTTTTATTGTTTTTAAAAGTAAATGGTGCCGAGAGGTGGTGGCACATACCTTTAATCCCAGCACTCAGGAGGCAGAGGCAGGCAGATCTCAGTGAATTCGAGGCCAGCCTGGTCCACAGAGTGAGTTCCAGGACAGGCTCCCAAGCCACACAGAGAAACCCTGTCTTAGAAAAAAAAGTAAATGGTGCTTAAGTAAATAAAGAACACAGGATTTCAGTAGTTAGTGATATGAACAATGAAGGTTGTTCACCTGTGTCTGCCTTGGGTAAACAGATATTCAGTGAGTGCAGTGAATTAATAGATAAGTATAAGCAAACATGGAGATGGAGGGCTCAGTTTATTGTTTTTGTATTAAAGACATCTATTTTTAAATAATTGACTTATTTTTATTTTATGTGTATTGGTGTTTTGCCTGCATGTATGTCTGTATATGTGAGGGTGTCAGATCTTGGATTTGCAGAAGGTTGTTGGCTGCCATGTGGGTGCTAGGAATTGAACCCAGGTCCTCTGGAAGAGCAGTCAGTGCTCTTAACCACTGAGCCATCTCTCCAGCCCAAGACATCTATTTTTAATAAAGATTTATTTATGATGCATACAGTGTTCTGTTTGCACATATGCCTGCAGGCCAGAAGACAGCACCAGATCTCACTACAGATAGTTGTGAGCCACCATGCGGTTGCAAGGATTGAACTCAGGACCTCTGGAAGAGCAGTCAGTGCTCTTAACTCCTGAGCCATCTCTCCAGCCCAAGATTTATCTGTTTTCATTTCGTGTGTATGAGTGTTTGCTTGCATATATGTGCAGGCATCACATGCATGCCTGGTGGTGGAGGAGGCCAGATGAAGGTGTCCGATTGCTCTTAACCTCTGTGTTGTCTCTTCAGCCCTGGCTTTTTGTTTGAAGCATTGAAAAGGGTATTATCTTGTGACTTTGAACAACTGGGTGCCTACATTTATTTCCTCTCTACTCCCCACTATTCCCTCTACCCCTACCCTATTTTTATTTTATTTTTTGAGGAAGAGCTCAGATAGCCCATGCTGGCTGCAATTCACTGTGGATTCAAGAATGACTTTAAACTTCCGATCCTATAGCCTCCACTGCCCAGAGCTGCAATCGTTTGTGTTACTCCAGGCACAGCTTATTTCTTTATATTTAAATATTGGAATTACATTATTTATAAGTAGATCTGAACTTTTTTCTTTATATTTCAGGATAAGAGGATTCCCAAGTGATTTCTTCCCTATTACTGAAGACTATTCTGGGTCAGGCTCGGGTTCTGGCTCGGGCTCTGGATCTGGTTTGGGTTCTGGCTCTGGCTCCGGCTCTGGTTCCGGCTCCGGCTCAGGAAGTGGCTTCCTAGCTCACATGGAATCGGAATACCAGCCAGCAGTTGAAAGCGATGGTGTCTTTTTCAACTACAGGCCTTCCGACAGGATGCTCCAGGAGAATAACCAAGAGCAACCAGAAGATTTTATTATATGAAAATGATCATTTCTGTTTCCCCATCTCCACACAGAACAATGTATTCAGTATACTTTGTATACCACGCTTAGATGATGAGTCTTGGGAAAAACAGTTTTACAGAAAACTTAAAATGCCTGGAAAAGACTCTTAAATCCTATCACCCTTTCCTCATGAATTCTTAAGGAATTAAACTTTAATGCTGTCATTGTTCTAGAAAATATCTGCATTTATAAGTGTGTTGAATCAACATCATGAAATTAACTCATACCCCCCATCTGCTGTTTTTTAAAAATTTAGTTTGAAGAGAAAATTGATGAACAATATTTCATACCTAAAGTGTTCAGGAACTCAACTCACATTGTGAATTACAGAAATACTCCATTTTATGATTAAAAATAATAAAATGAAACAGTGACCTTCTACAGTGGCTACGTGGCATGGTTTACAGCGATGACTTCCATTGTGCCGTGGCCATCAGAGGTGGTGGAGAAGCAGTGAATGTTGTTTATCTAAAAATGTTGTGGGTTGTAGGGTTAGAAACTTAACACCAGCCAGGCGTTGGTGGCGCAAGTCTTTAATCCCAGCACTCAGGAGGCAGAGGCAGGCGGATCTCTGTGAGTTCGAGGCCAGCCTGGTCTACAAAGCGAGTTCCAGGACAGCTTCCAAAACAATACAGAGAAACCTTGTCTCGAAAAACCAAAAAAAAAAAAAAAAAGAAACTTAACACCTCAAGCAACACATTGTGTGGTCTCAACGTCTCACACTGCTTGGCCTTTTCCTATATGTCTGTTGAATTGCAAACGTTACTCCATTAAAACGAAGATATAACTAAAGGCGGGTGGGGGTGGGTGGGAAGCTGTCTGGGATTTCTTTTTCTAGTTCAGGAAATAGTCACCTTTAACATAATTTTCTTTTTAAATGTGTATGTATTAAGATATATAAGCTATTGTGAGTCTGGAGAAATGGCTCAGTGGTTAAGAGCACTGGCTGCTCTTGCAGTCGACCCAGGTTTAGTTCCCAGAGCTCACATGCCAGCTGGCCGCAGGAGATCTGATATCACTTTCTGGCTTCCATGGACACCAGGCATGCACATGGTGCACATGATACATACAGGCAAAAACACTCATACTACACTATTCCCATTGTGAGAGTCCTACTGAACGTTAAGCATTGCATTTTAATCGATGCATGTATGCCAAGGGATGAGAGCCAAAAATAGCACTCGCCTTGAGAGAAATGGAGTTAATTATGGGATGGGACTGCTGCAAAGCTGAGAGGAAGGATAGAGGGCACTCAGGTATCTAGGGAGGTTCCTCCTAACATTTTACCCTTTTTAGCCAACGACCAAACCATTAGGAATGTTTATGATCATTCACAATATGGTGGTGGAAACACATATAATTTATTTTATTATAGTGTCTTTCCCCAAATTGATAATAATTGTAAACAGAATGCTAAGAAAGCAGGGAGAAGGGGGTGAATGGTTGTGCAGAAGCTGCTTATTGCTAGTGTCTCAGTATATTGTCTTAATATTTCAATCACTGTCTAAAATAATACATTTATATCTTATGGTATTCTGTCTTCTTTCATCTGTGCTGAATCAGGGTTTCTCATTCTTGTCATTAGTGATGCTTTGTGAAGGATTTCTTTCCTTTTTTTCTCCCTTTTTTTGTGGTTGAATTGGTGTTTGAACCTAGCTCTGCCACTAAGCTATATTCCAAACCTCTGGGCAGGATTTCTTTGTTGCAAGGGGATGTCCTGTTTATTGTGGAATGTTAGGCTATGTCTGCAACCTCTCTCCATGAGATACTCAGTAGTTCTATTCTTCTAGATGCCAGGGAAAATACCCCCAAATATTTCCAATTTTTTTTGTGGAAACTGGTGATCACTTAGTGGCTTAAGTCTCATAAGTAGTGTTTTACAGAAGCCAGGCATGATGGCCCAGGCCTTCAATGCCAGCACGTCCTAACGGGAGGCAGATGAGTTCAAGGCCATTCTGGTCTCCATAGTGAGTTCCAGACCAGACAGGGCTACAAAATGAGACCCTGCTGAAAAAACAAAACAAAACAAAACAGGTAGCCTGTAGAAAATAAAGAATTAGTAGCACAATCCTTCAACTCTTCAATATAAAATTGTTTTTAAAAGTATTTTCTGGGGGCCAGAGAGATGGCTCAGAGCTTAAGAGCACCGCCTGCTCTTCCAGAGGTTCTGAGTTCAATTCCTAGGAACCACATGGTGGCTCACAACCATCTGTAATGAAATTTGGTCACCTCTTCTGGCCTGCAAAGATGCATGTATTCATAAAAAACATAATTCCAGCACTTGAGAGGCAGAGGCATGTGGATCTCTGTGAGTTTAAGGCCAAGCTAGCCTACAGAGCTAGTTCCAGGACAGCCAGAGCTGTTACACAGAGAAACTGTGTCTCAAACTGCCCCCCCAAATTCTTAGCTGGGAGGTGGCACATGCCTTTAATCCTAGCACTCTGGAGAAGAGGTAAACGGATCTTTGTGAGTTCCATGCCAGTGTGGTCTACAAAGTGAATTCCAGGGCTGGTCAAAATCCAATCAGGAAGCTCAATCTAGGCTTTCAAGTAATTCCAGGAAGGCAGCTGGGGATGTGGCCTAATGGTACAGTGTTTGATTGGGATGCACAAGGCCCTGGGTTCAACTCTCAGCTCCACAAAAGTAAAAGAAATCCATGAGCGAGGGAGTGAGAGAAAATAAAAAGGACTGGAGCAAATCATCAAAGAAATTTATAAAGTTAGCAAGCTACACACAGTGAATACAGGAATGTCACACACATCTCAATGAACAACTGAAGAATGAACATTTTAAATTACACCGAAAATACTATAGAAATAGCAGGTGCTTAGAGATGAGTTTAATAAAAGATATGTAATATGTGTATGACTGAAACTATAAAAGTGATGAAGGACACCGGGCGGTGGTGGCTCACACCTTTAGTCCCATCACTCAAGAGGCAGAAGCAGGCAGATCTCTGTGAGTTTGAGACCAGCCTGGTCTACGAGAGCTAGTTCTAGGACAGCCTCCAAAGCCATAGAGAAACGCTGTCTCAACCACCCCCCCACCCCTCACCCCCCACCCTCCCTGGCAAAAAAAGTGGTGAAGGACACTAACAAAGATTTAAAAATTAGAAAAACACAGGTTTGGAAATTGAAGACTCAACTGTCTTTATACTTCCTTCATTCAAGGCTTATTCTAATGTTTTAGTAATCAAGACACAGAAATCTGGAAAGAGACCCATCATTCTACAGTCAATTGATTTAAAAACAACAACAACAACAACAAAAACCCCAAAAAACTCAAACCCTTTTATGCATATGAATGTTTTGGTGAATGTCTGTGCCCATGGAGGCCAGAAGAGGGCATCAGATCCCCCTAGTTGGGAGCCACTATTAGGATGCTGGGAATCAAATCTCATCTTCTGGAAGCACAGCCAGCATGTTTTTCATTTAGCTGAGCCATTTTTCCAGTCCCAGTCACTAGATTTTTGACAGGTATATCACAGCAGTTTAGAGGGGAAAGGTTTATGGACCATGTGAACACAGTTAAGCTCTCAGATTTCAGACTGTGCAATTGTTTTTCTCTCTTTCGTTTCTCACACTGTAGCCCAGGTGTTTGCTGGCCTTTTAATTCATGACAATTCTTCTGCTTCTGCCTCTAGAATGCTGGGATTACAGGTATGAAGCACTCTGCCTGTCTATCCTTCCTTACACAGTGACTGACGCTACTTTGTGCAAACAATCTGATTCACAGTGCAGTTGTATCCCGTCCCTCCTCACCTCTTACTCCAGGTGTAGCCTTGGCTGTTGTGGAGCTCACTGTGTAGACCAGGCTGGCCTTGAACTCAGAGATCTGCCTGCCTCTACCTCCCAAGCAATGGGATTAAAGGCATGTACCATCACTTCTTGATTCACAGGTTTTTAATAAAAAGTATTTTGAGCTATAAACTCCTTCTCTGTCTCCAAACTATTTTACCCCTTTGTATATCTGCCAATGACAACACTAGTAGATAATTCCCAGTGTTGAGAAGGCTGAAGATAGGGAGGATGGGTTTCTTGACAGCCTGGCCTACGTAGAGTACTCCAGACAAGCCTGGCTCACCTAGTGGAAACCTGTCTCAACACACACACAAACATCCATCCATTCCAAAGCTTTTTGGCATAGAAATCTTTAAACCTTGTTCCAAATAATATCATTTTGGACTAGAGATTTCCCCCTCTAAGCATGCAGGACACCTAGGGTTTCATCTGCAGTAAAGGAAAAAAACCGGGTTTGACTGCTGCAATTCCAGCATTGGGAAAGCACTTTGGAAGTGAAGGCAGGACCATACATTAAAGCACATCCTCTACTTGAGACCCTGTCTGGTTTGTTTTTGTTTTTGTTTTTTTTTAAGACAGGGTTTATTGTAGTTTTGGAGGCTGCCTTGGAGCTTGCTCAGTAGACCTGGCTGACCTGGAACTCACAGGGGTCTGCCTGCCTCTGCCTCTTGAGTGCTTGCACTAAAGGTGTGGGCTAACAGCGCCCGGATATATATATGCATTGCTGTGCTGCCTGTACGTATGTCTGTGTGAAAGTGGTCCCCTGGAACCAGTGTTTACAGATAGTTGTGAGCTGCCATATGGGTGCTGGGAATTGAACCCAGGTCTTCTGGAAGAGCAGTCAGTGCTCTTAACCGCTGAGCCTTCTCTCCAGCCTGTCTTAAAAAAAAAAAAAAAAAAAGAAGCTAATTTCCAGCATTTGGATTCCGTCACAATTAGACCACAGTCTCATATCAACATTTAAACATTTTAGACTTACAGACCTATACTCCTGCTTCCCAAGTTTTGTTATGATGGGAAGATGTTCACCCCTCCGGCCCCCCGCCGTAACCCAAATTTGAGCAAAGATTCAGTTCAGAAGATTTCGTAGTATTCATCCATCCTCAGATTTTGTAGGTTGCCACTACAGCGATGGGGTCACGTGTTTTGCACTCCTGGGAACTTTCAGGAAGGGCAAAACCCACAAGGGTGCCCAGCCTCTCCTGCTTGAAGGGATGGGTCGCCAGCTCTCTCTGGCCTGCAAAGAATGAGCTCTAAGATTAGTTTTTCTCCTTATTGGTCTCCTTGGGGGTGAAACCTCAACAAAAGAGGGGGTGAAGCGGGAAACTGTTTCAGGTGAGATAAGGTGCGAAGGTGAGAAACGCAGCAAGCCTGCTAGGATACACGTCCCGCACAAACCCGTGCTTCCCTCCTCGAACTTCCCTAGGGAAGAGGAAATGAGTGTGTCTGAGGAGGAGTTCCGCAGCGCGAGGCTCGTCTTGTGACAGCTCTAGGGTTGAAGGACTAGAAGACGGCTCTCCGACCCCTCCCACCGCGACCACGCCTCCCAGCCTAAGGGCGGGGCAAAGAAACCCCGCCT